AAAGGAATCTTTTTTTTTCTTTCTTTTTTTTTTTTCCAAGTGTGAAAGTTGCTGTTCTATGCCAATTCTGAGTTTCCAAGTGTAGACCTGAGGCCTGGGGGTAAAAGGAACTTGCAGAGGGTCACAGAGGTCATGATTAACAGGCACTAGCGAGGTGGAAGGCCTCTGGACTCAGGCTTAGAGCTCTTTCCACGCTTCCACCAGAGCTGCACGGGGAACCGGAGCCTCTGCCTCGTGCACTTTTATGCCATTCCTTAGTTATAGGCTAGAAAAATCTGGAACATAACAACTCTCCCCGGGTCTTTCATCTCCTTCCTCTCTCTTCACACTTCTTGGGGGCAACTGCATGTTCCGCCGCCTTGACATGTGAGGACGGCTGCTCCCTGGGCGGGCTGCGGAAATGGGCCTGCGATGGCTGCAGGTGCAAATCAAATAGAGGAAAATTCTGATAATTGGACGACAAGGGAGGTAGCAAGTGATTTTCCTCACTAAGGGCGACAAACACTTATTGGTAATGTTGTGTAACCCAAAAGTGAAATAAAGTTACCCGTGGACAAAACAGACACTGAACTTTTCCAAAGGCACATTTATCTCGGAGAATAAATGAACCCTTGGAGTCTCGCTGTCACCAGTCCCACAATTATTAGAGTAGCAGTATCGTGCTCTCTGTTTGTCTCAGAAAAACATGACAACTTCATACTCTGCTCACCCCCTCAGAGATAAAGGGCAAGTTTGCTCTAAGTCCTAATTTACAAGGGGCAACACTTCGTCCCCCTGGTGGGGTTGTCGATGTGATGCTAAAAATGATGCTCGGGTTGACTTGTGGGTAATTGATTCTCTGACGCTGACAACGCTCAGGAAAATGAAGGTATAAATAAATGATGGAGCGCCACACAGCCTCGGAGCGGACGCACAGCCCGAGGTCGGTGGAACTGGAACAGCACCTCGTAGCAGAGGGAGACCTGCCACCTGGAAGGTGAGAGCAGGCTTCCCTGGGGGCTGGGCGGGATGTGGGCAAGAAAAGTTGACATTGTCACCAACTAAGAGACACTGAGTCAATGAGGGCCATCGCCATCATCGCCGAGGATGGGTGAGTACATTTGGGTCCCAGTCTGGGGGAAATGAAGAAATGACCCCTCATTAGGGGTTCTGGAACATGCTTTCCATGGTTGGCACCATCTGGATTGGCCTGGATGTGTGGCACCTTGCCCCGTGGAGAAGTTGCAGAAGCCTGTGGGAGGCGAGGGAGGTCTCAATGCCGTGGGGCAGATTCTGGGGCAAGCCGTGCGCTGGATGGATTCCTGTCAACGCTGGGGGCTCTGCCATGGATCAGAGAGGAGCCAAGTGGCTGTGCAAATCAATACCGTCCATTGATCGCTGGAAACCAATTCAGCACAATTGCCTGGAAATTGATAACGTTTTCCTTTCTTGTTCAATAGCAGGCGTACTCCTTTCTCTAATTTTTAGACACAATTATCTGCCCTTGGAGCCTTCCATTATCCCACGCCTGTCCCTTGAGCCTGGCTTGAATGATCCTGAAGTGTGTTTTTCATTTGTTTCTTTGTTTTTTGTTTGTTTTTCACCAAAAGCTGCCTTAAATCCTTTCTAGAAGATGGTGGGCATCATTGTTTTGAATGATGGCTCAAGATGTTTTCTCATTAAAAGCTTAGATTTGGGGGTGCAGCTCAGTGGTAGAGTACTGCCTAGCTTGTGCAAGACCCTGGGTTCCATCCCCAGCACTGTAAAAACAAATTTAGATTTTATTTTATTTTTTAACTTGGAACACTATTGGTGGCATGGCTTATAAACAGGGTCAGGAGATCAATGCTTTGGGGTTCTCAATTCCAAATCAGATATTTTAAAAAGGTAAAAAAGAAAAAAATTCTCTAGGTTTTCAAAAGTAGCCTTGCCAATTTGGGTGTTTGTGACCAGATGTCTGCTGTGAGCTAAAGGTATCTGCAGAATCCTCCTGGCATTCATAGCAGGAAGGTTGGGAAAAGATGGTAACTGGTGAGGATCAAGCACCTGAATTCAGAGGATCTCAGATATAATGAGTCACAGAATTAGCACTGCAGAAAGCTACTGTAATGAAGAAGGAAGGGTTCAAACTCTAGAATGCCCTTGAGCATCCATTTGCTGTCAGTGTGGTTGCTGGGTTCAGGGTAGGCTTCGTTCAGTGAATTTTATCTCATTAGATTGTGCTGTGGGGTGTGTCTGTCAATAGCTATTTTATCCTTTGTGACGCAACTTGTCTATATTTTACCAGAGGCTAGATAATTCCTATCTCTGTGCAGTGGAATTTGGGGAGCCCATGGATTAGGACTAGGTTTGCACAGCCCCGGGTGGCTGGGTGTCTGAAGGCCCCCTGTGGCGGGGGGCGTGGTTTATGGAAAATGTTGAACTTCTTGTCAGACCAGAATGTGTGGGTCCTCAGTCTTGTTTTGAACAAATGGGGTGTTCCTTGCTTTCTATAACTGGCTCCCCAAAGTCTCTCAGGAGGTTATTTTCAACTCTGTGAAACCACTGGGTATGCAGAGGGAGGTGCCAATCAAGCAGGTGTCCCTGTTTGATCCCCTTTTGACTTCCTCAGAGGCCCAATGACAAAGAGTAAAAGATTTCCATTTCTTCAGACCCTTTCCCATGTGCAGGTGATGAATCTGAAGCGCCCATGAATAGGGAGCGCTGTGAATAGGGTATTGTACATGAGAAGCTGCCTCAAGGAGCAGGAGGAAGTCTGCTGGCCTGGGAATTAGGGGCCCATTCTGTAGTGCCCACTCCAAAGTTAATTTTGATGGAGGACCATGGAAAAAGGCCCTTCTCCTCTCTGGGCTCGTTTCTTCCGCTATAAAACGAGGGTGGCAATACCTACTCCAGGGCCAGTGTGGGGGGGCTGCGCAGGACAGGGGGAAGGGGGGCTGGGGATCATATGTGCCAGCCCTGGGCTAGGAGGCAGGGGAGAAATTAGCCAAAAGCAGGGGCCTGGGGTTTACTGGGGAAGGAGTCTGAGCAGGAAAGATGGTGATCAGCCCAAAGCTTTAAAAGATGAACAGCCAAAAAAAAAAGCAAGAAAACCGGGCTGTTCCAGGGGGCAGAAAACTCAGTGGTTTTTGACAAGGGGGGCTCCTTGTCTCCAAGGATCTCCTTGCTTAGAAAATTCCACCTCTTGGGCTGGGATTATGACTCACAGGTAGAGCACTTACCTACCATTCGTGAGGCACTGGGTTCGATCCTCAGCACCATATAAAAATAAAATAAAGATATTGTGTCCACCTATAACTAAAAAATAAATTTAAAAAAAGAAAAGAAAATTCCACATCTTGAGAGGCAGCCCAGGTCAGGTGTGATATGGTGTGAGGAGGATAGAAGGCTGCAGGCCCTTGGGCCGAGGAGCAGAGTCAAGTGCAAGTGTATTCAAAGGGCTCAGCACAGGGTTCAGGTGTGAATCTCTCGGTGGCACAGCAGGCAGATATGAAAGACGCAGCCCTGGGGCAGATACCAGGTTCTCTTCTGTAGCTCCAGTCCTTATCGTAAAGGAAATGTTTAACAAGGGGCTGGGGTTGTGGCTCAGTGGTAGAGTGCTCACCTAGCATGTGCAAGACCCTGGGTTAGATCCTCAGCACCACATAAAAATAAATAAAATAAAGGTATTGTGTCCAACTACAACTAAAAATTAAATTAAAAAAATGTTTAACAAGCAGTCATGAATCAGTGGCAGGGATATGTTCTGAGAAATGCACCATGGGGCAATTTCATTAAGGTGCAAACGTGATAGGCTATGTTTACACAAACCAAGATGGTGACGGTTCTCTCACTGGGCAGTGCAATCTTATGGGACCACCATTATATATGTGGGCTGTTTGGCCAAAACACTGTTATTCGGCACGTGGCTGTATTAAGAGGCGAGGGGGATTTAGGTTTGACACAATGAGAAAAACATCCTCATGGTAAGAACAGCCCAGAAAAGAGCCAGACTGGAGGTAGCGAGTTCCCTGTCATTCACTGACAGCGAGTGCTCCCCTGGAGGAACTGGAGGACTCCCTGGGGAGGAGGGGTGCCTCTCAAGGAGGGTCTGACCACTGATGCCTGAAGGGGCTGCTTCCTCTGGCTCTGGAGGGGCAGGGGTCTTGAGCCACAGTGGGCAGTCTCCATGGGTGTTCCTTCAGAGCCCAGGCATCCCTGGGTTAGTGGAGACCACAGAGTTCTGCCACACTGGCTTACTTGGGCTCTCAGATCCTTTCAGGACTAAAATTCCTTCTGTGAAACCTGAGCATCTGAGAGAGATTTACAAGCTTACTCCCCTCCCTCCAACTCCACAATGAAAGAAACAAGTTGAGCTTACCCTCCAAGTGGGTCAATATTAAGTGACACAGCAAAAGTTTCTAGAGAGTTCCTTATGTGCCAAGCTACTTTCTTAGGTGCCTCAACTCACCTGATCCTCACAAGGACCCCATATAGGTGACACTTATCATCTCTGTTTTAGGGTGGGGGAAACTGAGGCCCAGACAGGTAAAGTCACTCATCTTGGGACACACATTTAAGTGACATTTGAGCCAGGATTTGAACTCAAATGTCTGTCTCAGAGCTGAACTCTCACCCTGCTAGCTGCTGTCAGGGCTATGCTGAATAGTGGCACTAAGGGAAGGCACTCTCTTCTCTACTTTCCCTCGTGAGGATGAGTTCTGCTTCTTGTCCCCGAACAGCAGGGTGTGACTTCAGCACTCTCTCTGGTTTTTCTGTTCTCCCTGATGAGATGGCCAGGGTAACTTTATCATGCCCATTTGCCACACGGAGAAATCAGAGCTGGCAGAGGCAGAACTTGAACCCAGGTCTGCCTGGCTTCCAGCATCTGGGTTCTTTTTCCTACGGCTTCCAAAGGATGAGGATGGAGACTTACCATGGAGCCAAATCCAGTAGGCAAAGGGCATCCCTGTGGCCATGGCTGCTGCCGCCCCTGACCATCCCCTCTTGCTCTTTTGCAGGTGCCTCCCTGGGGGACAAGGATGCCACTCTGGGTGTTCTTCTTTGTGATCCTTACCCTCAGCATCGGCTCCCACTGCTCCCCATCTCCCTCTCTGCCTCTCAGGTAAGCAGCCCCTGGATCCTTGTACCTCTGAGCCATCCCTGCACATCTCAGGGAGGGGACCAGACACTGAGTCCCAGAGGTCATTCAGCCAGGGTGAGTCCCTGAGGATGAGCAAGACAGGGGGCAACAGAGGACCTTGCAGAGGCGTGGCGAGTCTGGCTCCCATCGTCCACTCTCCTGCCCCCACACCAACCTCCGACTCCTTCACATAGGATGCGGCGGTATGCAGATGCCATCTTCACCAACAGTTACCGGAAGGTTCTGGGCCAGCTGTCTGCCCGCAAGCTGCTGCAGGACATCATGAGCAGGCAGCAGGGGTAAGCAAAAAAATTCTCCCACACAGCTGTGCATCAGAGTTTGGAAGGCCTGATGCAGGAGGCCAGGGACCAAGTTTGGTCTCCTCCCTGACTTAGCATCTGTCATTGCTGGACTCTGCACAGCAGAGGGGCCCCAGCATCAAGCCTCAAATTGCTTCTACACCCATCGTGTGCTTTTTCCTTTGCGAGGCTCTATCAGTAAGTGCTGATGGCAGTTACTGTTCAAACATGGCTGTGTCAGAAACAAGCCTGCACAGAACATGGACGCCAGCACTATACTAAGCACACAGAAAGCCCTTGGCAGTGCTAGTCACTATTCTTAGTTTCTTCTCTGATCATTGGAACAACTCAACAAAGTAGGGACTCTCAGCCCCTCTGTACAGATCCACTAATGACCTCTAAAGGACACAGAACCAAACAGTGGCAGAGCTGAGATCCAAATAGCCCGATTCCACATCCTATGTATTTGTTGTACTTTTTATTTTGAAAAATCTCAAACGTACAAAAAAAAAAAGTAGCAGCAATAGTACAGACTTCCATCTGCCCTTCCCTGCATTCAGCAATTCCTAACATTTTACTACATTTGCCTCCTCTGTGTCCATAGCTAGGTATAGATTCATACAAACACGTACACACGCGTATTATTATTCTTTTGAATATCATTTTTGCTGAACCATTTGAGAGCACAGTGCAGTCATCATGACTCTAACCCTTGAGCACATCTGCACATGCTAACAAACCTACCAACAGGATATCCCCTTACACAATCGCAGAATAATCATCACTTAGAACCCATATTCATATTTCATCGGTTATCCCCAGATGTCCTTTATAATTATTTCTTTTTCTGATCTAGGATTGTGTCCAGGAACATAGGTTTCATTTGGTCGTCAGGTCTCATTAGTTTCTCTTAATCTGGAAGAGTTCCAAAGACTTTCATGGCATTGACATTCTTTTTTTTTTAATATTTATTTTTTTAGTAAATATAAAAATAAATAAGTATTTTATTTATTTTTATGTGGTGCTGAGGATTGAACCCAGAGCCTCACATGTGCTAGGTGAGTGCTCTACCGCTGAGCCCCAGCCTCTCCCCCACCCGCATCGATATTCTTGACTAGTAAAAGCCAATGCTCTAGATAGACCATCCCTCGCAGTGAACCAGCAGAGGCAGCCTCATCATTAGATTCAGGTTAGACACTCACACAGATGTTAGTGTGTCCTTCTTAGTAACCAGTACCAGTATCCATTATTCATGGATTATTGGTGGATGGTAAATTTGATCACTTGGTTAGCATGGTGTCTGCCATTGCTTGTCTGCCAGATGAGTTAGTAATCTGGGAGGGATTTTTGGGCTATGTGCGTTTCCATGGTGCACTCTTCTTCTGTACATAGTGCCGCCCTGATTGTTGTGTGGAAGAATCCACATCAGATATTTTTTTTTTTAAGAGAGAGGGAGAGAGAGGGAGAGAGAGAGAGAGAGAGAGAGAGAGAGAGAGAGAGAGAGAGAGAATATTTTAATATTTATTTTTTTAGTTTTCGGCGGACACAACATCTTTGTTTGTATGTGGTGCTGAGGATCGAACCCGGGCCGCACGCATGCCAGGCGAGCGCGCTACCGCTTGAGCCACATCCCCAGCCCCACATCAGATATTGAATTAGGCATAGGGATGCTCACCCGTGTGTCCACATCCTACCCAACCCCAACCCCAACTGTTTCTCCTTCTCTAACCACAAAGAGAGAGAGAGAGGAACCAGGAGCAAGGAGCAAGGGTTCGGCTTGGCCGCCAGGTGGACAGCATGTGGGCAGACCAAAAGCAGACAGCACTGGAGAGCATTCTGGTGGCCCTGCTGCAGAAGCACAGGTAGGGATGTGTGTGTGTGGTCTAGGGACCTCAGAGGCTCCTTCCCCATTCTCTCCAAAGGCTAGAGTCTCTCTGCCCCCAAACAGAACAAGCTCCTTCTTTTCCTTTTATACACATCAAGAACAGAAGGACTGCAATCCCAGCTGTTTGGGATGCTGAGATGGGAGGATCCCTTGAACCTGTGAGTCTGAGACAAATGTGGACAGCATAGACCCCTATCTCTAAAAAAAAAAAATAATAATAGAATAGAGGAAGGAGAGGAAATGTGTGACAGGTGACAGAGATTGAATATTATCTACTGCTGTATGTCCCGTGTATATCAACAGGCCAAATTCAATGTCTGTGCCCTAAAATGTCACTCACTGAATGGTTTTGGGCCAGATCCCAGAAATCTGAGTTTCAACAAATGTCCCAGGTGATTCCCATGTAGGCAATCTGAGAGGTATGCCCAGGCTTCTCTGCCAAGTTCACAAAACTATAAAGCCAAAGGCAGGCTGGCCTTCTCACACCCAGTGGTAGACCAGCTTGTACAAGTGCACTGTCCTTAGTGGGAGAGATGGTCACAACAGTTATGTCCCACCTCACTGACCCTCATATTCACACTGGGAGTCAGGGAAGATCATGAATGAGTTTTCCCATTTTACAGAAGAGGAAAAGTAAGGCAAAGAAGAGGCCACAGCTGGCCTCAAGTCAGGGACTGGCAAGCCCAGATTTGCTGTCCTCCCTGGAATGTCTCTACACAAACTGTAGGGTTTTTTTGTTTGTTTGTTTGTTTGTTTTGTTTTTGTGTGTGTGTTTGTGTTTGTGTGTGTTTGGAGAATAACTGCTGTATTTTAGAGCCTGATTTTATTTTATTTATTCATTTATTTTTGTGATACTAGGGATCGAATCCAGGTTTGCTCTATCCTGGCATCTTTAAACTTTTATTTTGAGATGCTGAGGGTCCCACTAAGCTGCTGGGTTGCCTAGTCTCCTGAGTAACTGGGATTATAAGTGTGTGCCACCACACCCGGCCCCCAGAACCCGATTTTGAATGGACCACAGGCAGACCTAGGGGCTAAAGACCAACTCCCTGCCCATAGCAAGGGGGGCTTCCTGATTTCTTCCTCCAAGAAAGGAGCAGGTTAGCGCTGCCCTAAAGTCCCAAGGCTAGGATTCTAAAAACAATGTCTCTCAGAAGGATGCTCTGAGGCCACTCAGGTAATCATTTACCTTCTGTCTCTCTCTAGACCGCCCTAAGCAGGAGTGGCCCCAAGGAGGGCCAATCCTAAGAGCTGGGGCTTTGTTCTGCATGTTAAAAGCCAGAGGCTTCACAGAGCTCTTTGGAAGGGCATGGAGGCCACTCCAGCCATTGTTCCCTTGCAGTTCAGCTGCTACCAATTTCATGTTGTCACTAAGTCTGCCTGAGAAAACAGAACGAGTGGCTAGAGGGTTACAGTTCAGAGTATCACCATTGGACAGGCACACTTGTGCCCCCCACACCTGTGTCCTCACAGCCGAGGTTCAGGGTTAGGTACCCTCCAAGGGCCATCCAGGACTACTACGTGCCATGTTCCAGGCTGGGGACCCACAATGGTCAGGACAGAGGCAGCCTCCTGGCATTCATAGCACACTGAGGTGGCAGGACTTACCTAAGAGCTGCACAGTGGATTATTGAACTTGTGATCAATGGAAAGAGAAGTAGGGGTGTGGTGCATGTCTGGTTGGGTGAAGCTGACTCTTTCTGGGGATTTGAAGTGACTTCTTCAAGGAGGAGTGACCAGTCCAGGGTCTCCTTGAGAGCCAGTTGGCAGGGTAGAAGCTGAGAATGGGGTCTGCTCTGCTGACAGGCATGAGCATCCTCCCCTCTGCCCTGTGGCTGCCCTGTGCTGTCTCGTGAAGCGAGAGGCCAGCTCCTGGCCAGCAGGCCCATCCCCTGGTTCCAGGTGTCCCGCCCTAACTTGCCCTTCCTTCAGTCTCCAGACTGAGCCTTCTGTTTCTTTCTGCAGAGGGAATTCCCAAGGATGAAGACCTCAGCTGGGGCTTAGACCACCTGGAGCCCAAACACAACTGGATCCAGTTAATCCTATTTCACTTCTGACCTACTTTTTCCTTTGTAAATACAATAAAATCCCCCCATACTGGTCTGCATTTCAATCTTATCTACAGCCTATTTTTTTTTTTTAGGTCTTACAGAGTTATATTTCCCAAAGTGGCCTTACAAGGTAAAATTAAAAAAAAAAATAGCTAAGGCTGGGGATGTAGTTCAATGGTAGAGTGCTTACCTAGCATGTGTGTGGCCCTGGGCTCAAGCCCTAGTACCATTAAAAAAAAAAAAAAAGAAGAAGAAAAGAAAGAACGAAAGAAGAGAAAAACCTGGGCTGGGTTTGTGACTCAGTGGTAAAGCACTTGCCTAGCATGTGTGAGGCACTGGGTTTGATTCTGAGCACAGCATATAAATAAATAAAAGTTCATTGATAGCTAAAAATATATATATAGATAGATAGATATAGATATATAGATAGATAGATAGATATAGATAGATAGATAGAAAAAGAAAAGAAAAATCTAACATTTACCAAACATAGAGGGCCTGCTGAGCAGCTTCATGAACAGAACCACAGAACCTCTCCTCTTCACACAGCCTCTCGGCAAGCTGGCAAGTATTGTGATTCTTAGACCAGGAACTGAGGTGCTGAAAGGTTAACCAAACTGCACATGGTCTCCTCTGGAAAGTGAGAGAGAAGGGATGCAAACCCAGGCTGCCTGGCCCAGAACCAGGCTCTCAGCCATAGGTCTCTGCCCTGTGTCAAGTCACCCTTCATCCACTGGTGACTGGCTCATCCTTTTATTCATTCAACAAATATTTATAAGCCAGGCATGATGGTGTGTATCTGTAATCCCAGCAACTGCAGAGGCTGAGACAGGCAGATCACAAGTTCAAGGCCAGCCTTAGCAACTCAGTGAGGCCCTAAGCAATTTAGTAAGGCTCTGTCTCAAAATAAAAAATAAAAAGGGCTGGGGATTTAGGTCAGTGGTAAAGTGACCCAAAGTACCAACCTCCAGTACCAAAAAATAAAAAATAAATATTTATGCATACACTGTGGTCCTCTTCTAGGCATTGAGGAAACACTTATGAGCAAAGTCCCTGATCTCACAGACCGTTATTCTACCGGGGGAGGGTAACAAAAACAAGTAAACACCCAATGGTATGTACAAGGGACAAGCTTTGAATGGGATGGGAGTGTTGGAGGGTGTTAGTTTATCTCCACTGTGTACATGTGAAGTCCTCACTGATGGTTTGACATTTGAGTCAAGACCCAGAGGAGTGGGGGTGGTTGGCTTTGTGAATATCTAGGTAGGGTGAAAATCCTCACAAAGGCGCTGAGACAAGATCATGGAAGGAGGAATATCAAGGTCAGTGTGCCTGGCTAGAGCAGAGCCAAGGCGTGGGTGAGAGGAAGGGAGGCTGAGGGAGTGGGAGGCAGCTCATGGGAACCTGTGGAGGGGTTCAAGACACAATGTTACCAAATCGAGTTGTAGAGCTCCAAAGTGGATTCCTCACAGTGATTCATGGATTGCGCGGCATCCTGCAAGGACCTCCAATGAACTGGGTAGCAGTGGCATTGTAGGTCAAATGGGCTGAAAAAACAAAAATGGAACAAAAAGCATGCTGGTTGTTTCAGAGATACTTTCTTTATAGGGTTGAAGCAGAGGGGACTTCCTTATGCCAGCTCAAATTGACCAGGCCCCTTAGATTGCTTACTGTGAATCTCCTGAGTTTTGGAAAACCACCCCTTTGAAAAGTTCTTTGATTACTGTTCTGGTTTGGTCTGATCTGTTGGAGCCTACTGCAGCCCTACACAATGGCCTCCCAAACATTTTGTTTAATATGGTCATTGTGGGGACTCAGATCTCACCCTTGGTGACATGGAAGTCCTCATGGAGTTAAGCAGAAGAGTATAATCTGACTGATGTTTAAAGTCACTCTCAGAGACCAACTGAAGACAAGAAGAAGGGAGGGGACTGGGACTATGGCTCAGGAGTGGAGGTCAAAGTCTTATTTGAGTAGGTTCAAGAGAAAATGGGAGAAGAGGAAGCAGAGCTGGGAATCCTGGCTTTCCAACACAGTGGCCATTATACACATGTGGCCATCGAACCCTTGAAATGTTGCTACCAGGGCTGGGGCTGTGGCTCAGTGGTAGAGCGCTTGCCTAGCATATGTGAGACACTGGGTTAGATTCTCAGTACCACCTACAAATAAATAAATAAAATAAAATTAATTTCATCAACAATAAAAATATTTAAAAAAAATATTGCTAACAAACTGAGATGTGCTTTAAGTGTAAAATAAACACAGGATTTCAAAGACTTAGTCTGGAAGAATAGTGCAAATATCTTAATATTTTTACATTGATAACATATTAAAATAATATTTTGGATGTTGAGTCAAATAAAATATATTAAAATTAGTTTGTCTGGTGTTATTTATCTTGGCAGCACTGAGAATAAACCTAGAGTCTCATACATGCTAAGCAAGTGCTCTCCCACTGAGCTCTACTACCTGCCCCTCATTTTATTTTTTTGTTGTGGTATTACAATACCATCACCTATGTGGCTTATTGCCATCTCTAATCATTGCAGAGATGATTTTTTTAAGAAGTATTACCAAAGATGCTTATACTGAAGCCACTAACTAATCAGAGGTCCCCATGTTAGTGGTTACCCAGCTTTTTCTACTGATGAACCATTTCATCTGGGCCACATATCTGCACACATCACTTGCCCTCAAAATCTGTGTTTTTTCCAGTGTGATAAAAAATGTTCTATATTTTTCTGGGCGTGGTGGCGCACACTTATAATCCCAGTGGCTCAGGAGGCTGAGACAGGAGGATCACTTCAAAGCCAGCCTCAGCATCAGCGAGGTGCTAAGCAACTCAGTGAGACCTTGTCTCTAAATAAAATACAAAAGAGGGCTGGGGAGGTGGCCATATTTTGATTTGGGTAGCAGTTATCCCAGTGTTAAATATAAAAATTCATTGAGTTTAAGATTTAAGCATCTTACTGCAAGTAAATCAAACCTTTAAAAACCAATAACTGTGAATTCTGGATGATGGGATGTGTCTTGATTACAAGTGCAAAAAGAATCACAGCATCTTCAAGTTGATGGGACTCAGTGATGAGCAGTCACTCACCCTTTGTTTGCCAGCCTAGGACCTGGTCACTAGGGAAGGGTAGGGTTTGACCCACGTCCTGAGGGGCTGGCAGCCAGGTCACCTGTCTCCCAGCACCAGAACACAGAGAGCAGAGCACAGGGTTCAGACCACCTGCTGTCCCTGGGAAAGAATGTGAAGCGTGGGAAGTGCTCGGCAGGGGGCCACTCAGGAGGGCAGCTCCTCTGAGGAGACAATAAGAACAATGGGAAACAAAAGTCCCCTCCGGAGGAGGAGGCTGGCCATTGAGGGCAGGCAGTCCACTTCAACCAAGAGAGGCGGCAGGCCTGGAACCTGCCAAGGAGAACAAAGGCCGAGACTAGCTGAATGGGAGAGTGACGGCCAGCCCGGGACCCCTCTCCTCCCAGGCCCACCTGCTCATCTCTTTCCCTGGCCTGTTCCACAAAAGCAAAAACCCGGGACTCTCTTAACTTTCAATTAGTTTTTCAAATGAAATAATGACCGCTGGGACCTGCTGCTACTTGTGGTTTCGAGGTGAATACAATTAGAGAGGGAAAAACCACGGCGGCCACAGCCCTGGTGCTTGATCTCCATTAACTGCAACTCTAATGGGAGCTTTGAAGACTTAACCTCTCCCCACGGAGATGCCGGAGCTCCCTCCTCACTCCCGTGGGGGTCCCGATTAAGACCCAGTGCTATTTTTTTCCCCTAAAGAAATGCTTTAATCAATGGGGGACTTGTCACTTTTAATGATGATCCTTTATGTTTGTATTAACTTGGAGTTCACAAAGAGGCTCCCTGCAACAGCCCTCTGGAGGAAGACAGGGCTGGCTTCACTGCCAGTTTCCCAGAGAGGTCAGAATCGGGTCTCAAGTCACACAACTAGGAGGCCAAAGAGCTGGGGACTCTGGAGGGAGGCGGAGGGGAGGAGGGCACCGGGAGACTCCTGTGACTCCAAGACTCCAGGCCCCTCAGGAAATACAAGCTGGGGAATGAGAGAATGTGGACCCAGCACAAACTGCTTATTGGGATCCTGCTACCAGCATTCAGAAAATAGCATGAAAACAACAGAGGATCCAGATTCCAAAACCCAAACCCAGATTTTTTTTATAATAAATCTCATTTTCAAATGTCAGCAACTGATTCAACTACTTAAACACTGTAGGTCAAATAAAACATATCTACGGGCCACTAGCATGCAATTTCTGGGAGAGGTGAGGCCTGCTTCCCACCTTAGGGACTGCCCTGCAATTGCCCATATTTTGTCTTCCCATCCGTAGGACCCTTTTCAGGACTAGCCCAGAGTTCTAGAATTTCCTTTCCCTGTTTCCAGTAAAAGATCCCAATTTCCTTACTGGAGTAAAGTCCAGCTAGATTGGAAAGCAATCTAATTAAAATGACATAACTTCTGTACCCTGAATTCAGTAAACTCTGTGAGGATTACCTGCATCCTGAAAGTTAACTAAATGGGCCAGTCATGGTGATGCACACGTGTAATCCCAGAGTCAGGAGCCTGAGACAGAAGGATAAGTTCAAGTCCAACTTGGGCAATTTAGGAGACCCTGTCTCAAAATAAAATTCAAAAAAGGGACTGGGATCGTAACTCAGTGGCATAACACCCCTGGGTTCAATCCCCAGTAAAACACACACACAAGCGCATTCGCACGCACACACGTGTACACACACACACACACACACACGTGGGCCCCTCAAGAGGTGACTAAAGCAGGAGGGCCAAGCCCTCACCAATGGATGAGTACTGGCTGAGGGAACTGGCTAGCTCATTTTTTATCTTTCAGCCCCTTCTGCCACATGAGGACAAAACATTTGTCCCTTTCTGCCATGTGAAGACACTAAGACAGCACCATCTACAAGGAGCAGGCTCACACTAGATGCCAAATCTGCTGGTGACTTGAACTTGGATTTCCCAGGCCCCAGAACCACTAGAAATAAATTTCTATTATTTATAAATCACCCAGTTCGTGGCATGTCATCACAGCAGCAGGAATGAACTGAGACAGCTGACGCCCTCACGGGGGACTGACGCCAAACTTTCAAGGCAAGAGCCTCGAGCAGGTCCTAGTTGTGGACCAAGAGGAGTCTTCAGAACAGTAGGGCTCCCTACAGGCTCACTGCTGGAGAAGCAGACGGAAGGCAGCTGCTCCCGCAACTTCCGTCCTTTTGGGAAAGTGGAAGAAGCACCCTGCCCATAGCCAAGAACCAAGTCTCAACCAAGTCCTTACGTCACACATTCCAAAAGTACTAGAGAGTACTCAGTCAGGCCTTTGCTCCTGTTATCATCCTTTTTATTCCAAAACAAATTAATCACAGATTTCAACTTTCCAATGCAGTCCCTGGGTGGGTAACTAAGGGCACTCAGAGCGCCTTGCTAGGGCATCATGTCAGAAACAGGCAGTCTGGACTCAAGGCGTCTGCTCCATGGGGGGAACTGAAAAACAACAAGCAACAGTACAACCACATCGCAATTGTTTTCTTTTTAAATAAAATTATTTTTTCTTAAATTCCTTTTTTCACATTGTGAATTGTTCTTGACTCCTTCTCTTGACATTCACTTCAGTTTTCAAAATTTCCATCCTTTTTCTGGAACTAATGTGCTGTTCTGAAAGAAAAATGAAGAGAAAACACAAAATTACTGAAGTTTCTGACTCACTGTTACAGCTCCTAACTGGTAACAACAGAGACCAAGGCACTCTCCCACCACAAGGTCCCATTTATAAGGGAATAATCATTGGTTTTATTCAGTTATGCCCCATCTCATCTCACAAAAGAAATATGAGGCAGCTAATTCATAACTGAAGCTGATGACAACTTAGAAACAATGAAACAAACTTTAGAACTAAGAACGTTTATGTGAAAATACAAGAGATGAGGTAATTCCAGGCACACCTCTCACAGTACAAGGCCAAAAAGTGCAAGTTCCAACTAGCAGAACAGAGCGGAGGGTTTAAAGAATGTTTATTGTCAATCTCCCAGATTCCACATCTGCCAACCAACATGTGGCCCTTCTGCAGCTTGGAGGACAGTATCCTGCACCACATTCCTGCCACGTGGCCGTGTTCTTACCTAGAGTCAGACCCAGCATCTAAACACAGAGTAATTTTCAAAAATGAGAGTTACTCAGAAACATTTTAAGATGGGATAAAAACCTCTCTATGTCTTTATTCCCTCTTTCCCTTTGGTTTTCCCTGGACTCAACAATGGGGAAACACAGAAGCAAAAAGGATCATCTAGACAGATCTGTTACCTGGTGCTGAGAGCAGTAAGAAACCAATTGGTTGAGGCAGGCTCCAGTGAAAGGGGTGGGGCGCTGACACACCCACCATCCTTAGCGGCGACTAGACCCTATGGTGAGGACTACATACAGTGATGTCACAGTCTTGCAGAATGGAGGGTCCAGGTCAATTACCAAAACAGTTCCCAGGGGCACGCATAGGCATGAAGCTGATCTTGGGGGCAAGACTGTGTGCTCCTAACTCTTTAACAATGTTCAGAGGTCCCAGGTACATTAAAATGTGTGTGCTTAAAAAAGTTTCTGCAGAAGGGACAGCATGAGTGAGAAATAAGAACAGAAGAAGGGTAGTGGCCCACTAGCCTCAATCTTGACTAAGAAGCAATGCCCTCTGTTATGGTCGCTCATATCAGTGTCTGTCTTCAGATCAACTACAAGTCTTCAGGTACCAGGGGCTAAACCTAAACACTAGGTCCCAACCTCAGAAAGTTCCAAATATTCAAATGATCAAATGACTTTCTTCTCCCTCAAGCTATATGATATGGGAATAGCAGGTAGAAGTGGACAATCTGAAAATCAAGGGAGAAATATCAATTCAGGGTAAAGAATTAAAGAACTCAGCATAGAGCAGGAAGGACTAGTTCTGAAAGCACACTGCAGACAGAACAAGTATAATTTAGGACACAACCAAATAAGTAAGGCCAGGGGATACTGGTAGGGAGAGGGGGCTGCCTACAAAAGGGGCCAACAGAAACTTCTGAAAGTGTGGGAAAGTCTCTATCTTGATTGAGATGGTAGCTGTATAACCATATATGCTTTTTAAGAGTCATAGAATTATACCCACACACACAAATGAATTTTACTCTATGTAAATTACACCTCAGTTAAACCTGGGGAAAAAAAGCCAAAATAAATGCAGTTTTTTTTCTACATTGAGGACTAGGTGACCCAGCCGGTGTTCACACATCAGTGAAAGGGCTCTAAATCCTATGCTTTTGTTGATCTCTCCTATTTTCAGAGGATTAAAAATTAGATGGCTTAGTTGCTTTTGCATAGAAAGCCATTTCCAAGGCAAGGGATAAGAGGGGACATGACTCAGAAATCCAAATACCTCCCTACCCTTTCTTGGTCTAGAGCAGGGATCAGCCAACTATGTCATGCAGACCAAATCCATTCACCTTTGGTAAATAGTTTTATTGAGATACAACCACATCCACTTGTTTACATGGTCTATGGCTGTTTTCACACAACAGTGCCAGAGCTAAGGGTTCTGGCCCCTCACGGAAACCTCTTGTCCACCTCTATCTAGATCTATGAAGTTGCAGGCACTCTCTGTCCTTCCTTCCCTACACCTTGCCTCCCTGCCATACTCATCCCAGGACCAACCCCTGGAGAGCATTAGCACTGTCAGTCACATAGGGAGCGGCCCTGAACCCACCCTGCACGCTAAGAACTGGGACTCTGCTGCTGGCTTTCATCTGTGCCCCCAATCCTGCATAATTCAGTCTCACCAAACCACACTGTTTGGCCCAACTAGAGATTAGGGTTATGGAAAGGCCTAGAAACAGTGACAAGGTGTGCCAGGATTTGCCATGGGACCACCATTTAATAAATTTAAGAGTCTTGAATGGGGTCCCTTTTAAAATGTCCAAGGTTGGACTTGTTTTATCTTCAATCCTGCTCTGCTATGATCACAGAGAGGCTGTTACATATAAATCAATACCCTTTGGGACACAAGGAAGGATAGCATCTCTTGCAGTCAGAGCCAGGCCAAAGTTGCTCCACTGCAGAGTTACCCCACCAGCTGGGCTTCCTCAGGCAGCTTCTGCCCTGGTCCAGCCACAACCTCTTCCGGCAGATTATAAAATGGCCTCGGAATTGGCTTTGGCATAGGGAGGGGAAGGGAGGAATGAATGGGCCAAAAACTCAATCAAATAACTGACATGCATGAAGAAGGCAAGATGGGAAAGGGACTCTAGTCCTGGGATGCGTCCACCCTTCATCTTTACCGTAGTGTCCTATATTTTGCCAATCTACTGCTCTGCTCTGCAGCGATCCTGCCAAAGGAAAGAGGGTTTGAGAATCAAGAAAGGACAGTGAGAGGAGAAATAAGCTGAAGTAGGAAATGGCAAACACCCAACCAGAGCTTCTATTAAGGCCACTGATTCTTCAGGACTTACAAGATGCATGTGTGTGTGTGTGTGTGTGTGTGTGTGTGTGTGTGTGTGTGTCTGTGTGTGAGGAGTTACTGATCCTCTTGGGATTCTGTTAAAAACCATGGTCTCGCCCCCCAGAAAATGCACACAACTTTAGGATTTCAGATTAGGAACTGGTAAGCAGCATCTAAGTCAAGTGGTTTCTCCCCTGCTCTCCCCTGTTCTGTCTTGTGAGCAAATTCCAGAAAAGAAAAGTTAGCAGAGCACAGCTGGCTCCCTGGGGGCCTAGACTGGTTGCTGCAAGGGAACAGGCTCTGCTCTGGGAAAACTTCGGAGTCCCGGGCTCTTTCTAGCTGCACTGCATAGCCATCACGTAAAGGATGTGAAGGGGTCAAAAAAGGAACAAGCCACCACTGCTGGTGCCAAATAGAGCTCTGGGGGACCTGGATTACTCTGGGGAAGCCAAAGAGCATGCCTGCACCACTCTCCAGAGGGAGGCCCTCAGTGGAAACTGGGAAGAGAGGAGACCTTTGCTTCTCTCACCCACTAATGGTCTCCTTGAGAAAACCTCTCCCAGCTCTGACCAACCTAATTGACAGCAGTGTTGGAGGGCATGATATTGAGTTCCATTCTGCTAGCAGAAGTCTCGGAGAGGAGAAAGCAGGGCATGTCTGAAAATGATTTCTTCCAAAGGTGAAAGCAATTTTGACCTTTTCCTATTGGCCTTTGCGTGACTGAAATCACCCAGATTCTAATAAAGCCAAATCAATGAGAAACACCTATGTGACATTTAAATTTGCCTCCAATTCTGTTCTGAAAGTTGAGCTGCCAGCAAGCTGCCATCACGTCAAGGTCTGACTCTTGGCCTGTCTGGTTCTTGGGTAGTGTGTGGGCTCCTGGGTGGATGCTCCCTGCTGGGAGCCCCCTGCAAAACCTGTGCAGCTTCTGTGGGAAGAACACAGACCTCACACACAGGATAGACTTCAGGTGTCACTCTTATGGGTGTGAGGGAGGGGAAGGGCAGAATCCTGTTACCAGAGAGGAGGATTTTTACATAGCCAGACAGAAACAACCGTCTATCACATATTGTAGCCCATTTTAATCTACATATAGCAATTACTTTCCTCTCTCATTCCAATGAGTAGTGATATAAATAATTGTGTTTTTAATAGATCTATGGCTGATCATTAAAGGCCCTTTACTGACTTAAAACATTCTATGGCTTCTGTATTGAGCTGGATTAAACAGTCAGAATTGCCCTTAAGGAAATGAATCTTGTTGCCACATATCCTTGGTCTCGATTTGGACTGGCAGAGCTAACCAATATGTCTAATCCTACCCCGGGGCCCCAGCCCAGCCCTGGCCTTACCTCTTGACTGCCTGCTGGGCCAACATCCGATTGCCAGCCAGAAACGTCACGCTGCCCAGGATGGCCAGGTACTTCAGGGTCTGGAACATGTTGAGCTGAGTCCAGTAGACATACATGAGCCCCAGCATAGCTGCAGAGGAGTCAAAAGGCCCAGTTAACCAAAGCTGATGGTGGTCTGGGTGGAAGGGACTTGGAAGCAGTGGACTGCTAGGTCAGGAAATGGACTGTATTTCCAGACTAATTTGTTTCATCCCTTTTATTTAATGCCAGAAAGTAGATAACTTCCTCAGCCCGGGCTACCAAGAAATTCAGAACCAAAAGTCAGACTTCGACTATTTTATTTCAATCCATAGTCCTACTCACATCTATTTCTGTTCTTTAACACGGGTTTTGTTTCCCTTAAAACTTTACCATTGCCTGGCATGGTGATGCACACCTATAATCCCAGCAACTTGGGATACACAGGCAGGAGGACTGCAAGTTCAAAGTCAGCCTCAGCAACTTAGCGAAGCCCTTGGCAACTTAGCAAGACCCTATCTCAAAATAAAAAATAAAAAGGGCTGGGGATGTGGCTCATGGTAAAGCGCCTTTGGTTCAATCCCCAGTACAAAAAAAAAAAAACTTCGTTTTTAAAATTCTTTTCTTTTAGCTGGGTCTGGTGCTGCACACCTATAGTCCCAGATACTTGGGAGGCTGAGGGAAAACGATCACAAGTTCAGTCTTGGCAATTCAGAGAGACCTTGGCTGAGAATAAAAAATGAAAAGGGCTGGGGATGTAGCTCAATGGCAAAGTACCCCTGGCTTCGATCTCCGGTACTATGCAGTACAGCAGATCAAATCCAGGGCCTTGCTCATGCTAGGCAAGCACTCTACCATTGTTTTGTTTTCTTTTTAAATTTTATTTTGAGGCAGGGTCTCACTAAGTTGCCCAGGCTGACCTTGAACTTATGATCCTCCCACCTCAGCCTCCCAAGTAGCTGGGATTACAGGCATGAGCCACTGCCTTTATTTTTTGAATTCTTAATGGAAGTGTGCAGGATATAAACAAATGAGCTATTTCCTTCTTATTATATACATGTTAAGGAAGCTGAGCGTGGTAGAATGTGCCAGAAATCCCAGCACTTGGAAGGCTGAGGTAGGAGGATCCCTTGAGTCAGGAATTCAAGAGCAGCCTGGAGAACACAGGCTGAGAACCCCATCTCTTAAAAACAAAAACAAAAGAACATTAAGGATGATTTGCTACTGTGACTAGGAAGGGACAAAAAGCACTCAGAGCCTTGGGTTCTGGTCCAGGCTCCGCCCTCACCAGGCTCTTAATTTCTGTTTCCAAATTCTCTCACCTGTCAAATGGGATCATAATTCCTGCCCCAATCACTTCCACCAGGGTTGCAATGAAAATCAAACAAGGAAATATGCACAAAAAGCATACTAGTAAGAAAAATCATGTCTCTCAACAAATTTATATGCAGGTTTTGTTCTCAGACTGACCCAGGAGGGCTATCATTCAAATGCAGTAGCTAAGCTGGAGAGAAAGGTCATTCTGTCAATTTTGCCCAGAAGCATGACAGATAACTACAGCAAGGATTCTTGGCCATTTCTGAGGTCATGCCACTGTGAGAATCTGATCAAAGTTATGGACTCTCTTTCCCAGAAAAATATAGACACACATTTGCCTGAATTTCAAGGGATTCGTTCATGGATCCCTCCAGAAGCCATATATTATGAATGTAGAGATGATGACTCCCAAAAGAGGCAAAGGAATTAAAAAATATTGAAGTCTCAGTGAGATGCAAGGGAACACTGATCTAATAGTGTCAAAGACTCAGAAATACTTAACTGATTTGTGAATTTACTGTCTCATTATGTTCAGGCTATTTAGGTCCCAAGTTCTCAAGAGAACAATACAGGACAGCATGTCTGACTACAGAAGGGACTGTTTTCTATTACTGTCCAGACAGAGCCGCCAGCAAATGTAAAGATCGATGCGGTGGGGAAAGATAACCTTTGGAAACTGCATTAATGCTCTTCATCCAGGAAGATGGCTTGGTGTAAAGATACGATAAGTGAGTAATCTCTGGAAATGAACAGGGCTATTAAATGAGGGTAAATGGCCTGCCAACAGCCTCCTAGTACAATGAAGCCCAATATAATGACAGCTGTTCTAAGCTGATGGGCCAAACAGGTTTATCATCATATTAACTGTCTTAAAAGGCCAGGAGGAAGAGGGAAATGTTATGCTATTAAGTCATTATAGTTAATAGGTTGTGGGTCTACTTAACAGGGCTTTTGCGTGGGCAGGCAAAATGTCAGAGGAGGTTAAATGGAATTAGCAGCCTGGGGCACTTACCAGCATGTCCCAGGTGAAAGATAATTGTGCTAGGAGCAAAAGTGAAGTTGGAGATATTGGCACCAATCCGGATCCACTGAAGGATGTGGAGAAATAAATTAAAAAGATATTAGAACTTGAAAGAAAGGCTACACATGCCATGCCAATGCTCATCCAATGAATAGTCCTCAGGGCTTAAAAGTTCATGCAAACTGGAAAAAGGGAATATTTCTAAGTGACAACGACCGTGTTATAAACCCTCAGGAAAAAATGTTCCCTTTTTTGGTAGAAAGGCATCGCAGCACCTGCTCGCAACTGTGCTTGAGTAACTCAACCCTGTACATCATTTTTAAAGCCAGTAAACCATTCTGTTTTAAAACAGGTAGAACCATAAAGCTGGCAAGTCAGAAGATGCAGTTATAATAAAGTAACTGACGCTTCCACCAAGTTCTGTAAGAACTGGAGGGATGAACCCGCTGACAGCTGGCAGCCGCAGGCACGGGTTCTATGCCTTCTGAAATCCTGATGCTCAGATACAAGAACAGTAGCTCACACCTCAGGTCTGGTTTCTGGAAGCTTGTGACATGCTTCTAGATTTAGATAAACCAAAAATTCTTTTGTTAAAATCAACAAATTAATCAGGAACACAGGCAACTTTACAAAAAGTAAGATCTAATGAGTTTTTTTCCTCAAAATTCTCTGAACCCTGAGGATATATATCTACATTTATGATTTAAAAAGAGAAACCAATTAATTAGTTAAAAAATATACAGGGGCTGGGGACATAGCTCAGTTGGTAGACTGCTTGCCTCACATGCACAAGGACTGGGTTCAATCCCCAGCACCCCCCCAAAAAAAAAAGAAAGAAAGAAAAATATATATGCAAACAATACAATAGAGTATAAAATGTAAAAGTTTCCTTCTTTTGTATTCTCCAAAATGTCCTCTCCTCAGATGACCAAAGTTAATACATATTTTTAAAAAAAATTCCACAAAGCATCACATAAACATGCTATCCTATCCTCTGTCTTCCACACTCAGTAATCCATTTGGCCGTCTTGTCCTATGAGTGTAAATCTACCCCTCTGTTCCCGAGAGTGTGCTACTCTGTCGGATGGGCTTACTAATTAACACTTGCTTTCATGAGAACCGTAGGCTGTTTCCAGTTTTATGCTCTAAACAGAGCTGGAATGTGCGGCCTCTGTTCTCTATTCTTCACAGCTATCAGCACTAGGCCTTGCTTTTTCCACACTTGATCGCATCTGAACCCTACTATGCAGCACCACAGTCCATACACTTCACTTTCAGTGGCTATTAGGAACTTTCTCATGCCCCCTTATTAATGGATCAATTTATTTGGCCACTCCCCCATAGTGAGGAATTTGGTTATTCTAAAATTTTTTGACCATCAGTTCAGGTCACAGCTGCTGGACCCCTCTGGAGCTGTGCTGAGGCCAGAGCACAAAGCCTCCTTTGGAATGGCTACATCTGCCGAGTCTGGCGCCAGACACTCGCTGCCCATGCTAATTATGGCGACTCACCAGAGCAAAGAGCAGGAGCAAGGGCGAGAGGATGAGGGCGGTGAATGTATTGGACACCACGGTGGGGGGCCTCTTCTCAGGCTCTCGGAACAGGTGCTGCCAAGAGAAGACACACGGAAAGCCTTCAGAATGTGCCCTTCCCTGCAGTCTGCCATGTGCACCAGGAACCAAAGCATCACTGACCATTATTAAGAGGAAATGCCTCCCAGGGGCTAAAGCCTCCTGACAACAAGTAGCCACTTGGCTTTTTGCCTCTTCTCTATGCTGGTTTCTGATTCTAGAAGTGTACCTCCCAAGACACCGTGGGCTCACCGCTTGGCCAACCCCTTCTCTACCTTAAAAAACTACAATCTACAAACTGGAGAGTGCAACCCATGAAGTGGCATTTGGCTGTGTCAAAAAGGGTACCCAGGTAGATGGGCACATGTGGATGGCTTGGTGTCACCCAGGTCAGGATTCTGGGTTCCTAGGTGGCATCTGGGTCCCTAAGTCATATACTACTGCCCTGCTTCAGGGAGCTGTTGACAACTTCACCCCTTTTAATATTTAACACAGCCTCACTTCAGGAGGTCCCAACCCCACCTCAACAGCCTCTCCACTAGTCCAAGTTCTGGGGATAGTCTCAATAGACTTTCTCCTTTATTTGTTCTACCTGATTTCCAAAAAAATCAGAAGGCTGGGCAAGCACTCCTCTGATATTTGTTTTGCCTGCTGAGAGAATCAACATGAATAATCTTCGGGAAGTTCACCTAAACTACTTGACCTGGTGGAAGTGGTGACGGACAAGAGTCCAGAGACTTTAACTTAGGCCCATATTCCTGTGTTCAGCTGTGAGACCAGGGGCAAGTCACTTTACCACTCTTTGCCTCAGTTTCCAGCTGGAAAATAGGGGTGACTTGGAACTGTCATGAGGATCAAATGGAGCAGGGCGTGACTATGCTCCACGAGCGGTAATGCACGTATATAAACTGAGCTATTTTCTCTCTTTTGAAGATTTTCATCCAGTGAATAGATGGTGGCTCTCTTTTCCACTTACCTGTGCTCAGCCAACCCTGGGCCAGGTGAGAGCCCCAGGGGAGACTCCCGCTCCTCCACTTTCATCTCAGCTCCTCTGTTTTGCCTCTGCCATTAAGGGGTTTCTAACACTCCTTGCTGCCGCCTCCTCCACCTTTGATACCACACTGTACCTTCTGTTAGCTGGGCTTTACGTTCTTAAAACTGTGTTCTTTCAAGTTTTAGAAAGAATCCTGCTGTTCTACCCTTGTCCCTTTTCAATAGTGAAATGAGGGCAAGTTGTCGCCTTTTAACACTTCACATTAATTCATACGTAGTTTTCCATGTTGGAACATTTCTCCTGACTATAAAATATAGTCCACTGGAGGATCCACCTGTTTCCTTAACTGGTACCTAAATTGTTTATAGCATTTATTGGGTTTACTTTGCAAAGAGCTTTCAGAAACATTTCCAAGCTTCTTTTCTTATCCATTGTCCATTTGGACTCTCACAGCGGTCCTGTGGGCTGGGCTTGCTCAAGTTGGTACTGTAAGGAAGGGAAGCCCTGGAATAGAGGGTCTTGCCTGGAAAGCCCTGCTCCCAGGAGCTTTCCCACCGGTTGGCCCTGATTTACACAGGAGCAGAGAGGACAATGCTAAACCCATCTGTGCCTGTAACTGCCCAGTGATATCTGGAGGGCTGAGCCCCCTGAACATCTGGAAACAGACTCAGGTTCTGACTTCATCTCCAACTTTCTGGGAGCTCCATACTATTCTCTGAACCTCTTTAGCTTGAGGATGAGACTGGTATTTGCCCTGACTAATGCACAGGCGGTAAGGCTCAAACTATCAAATACCATATGAACAGGTTAAAAGAGAGCCCAGAGCCAGAGTACAGGCGCTTGCTGCCCTTCCTCATTGCACTCATTTCTCCTCCATGTTAGTGGATAAGGCCTTTGGGATGTACCTGAATTTCCTGTTTCGGGGTGAAAAGGTTCTGAGATAGGACAGTCGAGGGAGCTTCTTCTTCAGGGAACTTGATGACCACATCAGCCTAAAAAATAAAGGCAGTCTGTAGAGGCACAGAGTGGAGAAGCAGGGGGGAACTCCCTAGCAGGACCCTGATGAGGACCAGAACTGAATGAAAAAAGCTCAAGAGACCCAATCACACCTATTAGTCAACAAAATGAGGCAGTAAAAATTTCAAGGACAAAACAAGTATTTGTTAAAAATGCTTTTTAGAGCAAGAGTTCCAATTTTCAACCAGTATGGTAGAGAAAACCCAATAGAGCTGCTTAATGCAAAAATCCCAGCTGGTACACTGGCTGTTACAGTTGCCATTAGAAACTGCTTGGTGTCCCTAGGAAGTGTGATTTTGTAACACACACACTGCAGAAATGAAAATACGCTCTCTTACAAAATGCATCCCAAAGTCCAAGAGACGGAGCCTTGAACATAACAAGAAAATAGAGCTGTCCCTTTGTCCTGCACATGGACCAGTCAACAGCTGAGGCTCCAATCTGGCTTCCACCACCTTTCCACCCTCTTCCCCGACTGTTCTCTTTAGGGTTCAGGGCTCCAAAAGCAGAACTGCTCCCAAGCTTCCTCATCACCCACAGCCCCCAGACTATTCTAACAAGCCTTTCTTCCTCCCTCATTCAAAAACCAGTGTGTCAAGAAATTTTCTGTCATCCCACCAACCCAAAGTGAGGCGTGTGGGGACGAGGAGGATTGTGTAAATCCACAGCCTACACCAATGCTGTAGCATTCTCCAGTCCTACAAATCCTTGGCCTGCACCTTCCTGAACTGTTACCAGAATTCAAATCTTCTCCCTCTCATAAGGCTACACCATATCTCAAAGACCAGGGTCTTATCTTTTATGTCTGTATCCCTCAGGCTGCCTTGCAGAAACCTCCTTCCAGTATTGATAATCATAGAAATTTTCAAATCACTAAAACTCCTGAGGGTAAATTTACTTTCATTCATTCACCAAGACTACATTAAACACCTACTATGCACCAAGCCATGTGCATGACCCAAGAACTATTTATAGAGCCAGGACAGAGCGCCTCCCCTCATGATGCTCGTTATGCCCATGTGAGGCACAGTGGGGCTAGGGCCAAGAGTCCTGTGTCCCTGAAGGGAGTGGTCTGTGTCTGGCCACAGCATGGCTGCTCAGGTGGGTTAGTGTGCATTCAGGCACATACCACATTCCAGAGGATTGGGTTCTTCAAAGTGGCATCTCCAATGATTAAGTAGAGAGTGTAGGTGCCTGAGGCGGAGTCAAACTCGATCTTCCTCTCAGAGGTGTCTAGTTCGAACCTGTACACATTCTTGCTGTCTGGCTCAGCGACAAACACCACTTCCTGGCCAGTCTTCTGATTGTGGAGTCGGACAAATGTCTAGCGGGAACAAAGAACACCGCTCACCTGATGGTCTCAGAACTCTCTGGGGGGCCCAATGTCATATTGGCCAGGCAGCAGAGTTAGCTCTTTTGTGATACTGAGAGCTCTGGGATCTGCCAGACTTGCGAGACCTGCTCTGGAGAGTAAAAGAACTGGTCATCCCAATCTAGTTACTAGCTCCAGGACAACTCTTTCTGGTCTGAGGAAAGAAATTGAACTCAGAAGTCCAGCCAATACGTGAGGCCTGAAGGCTGAATGCCCAGTTTGCGAATGATTTAAGCCCTTTGCTATTGCAGCAATTTCTTCTTCCTGCAGCCTTTTGGCCACTTTGCTGCCCAATTAACTCCTTCACCAGAGGGTGAAAAGAAGGGAAATGAGGTGGAACTGTAAGAGGCCCATTTTCAATTTCCTGGTGCCTCCAGCTAAAGATTTAGTGGAGGAGGCTTGGGTGTCCATGGCAAGGCAGAGTTCTAATCAAGCACAGCAACCCGGTGTCATAGAGCCCTGGCTCTGAAGACAGAGCTGGCTCCACTGCTTATTAGCTGGCAGGTTACTTAACTTCCTTGCACCTTGATTTCTTCCTCTTTGAGGCAGAAAGATTATCTTCTGCATATGGTATCTCTGTGTGAAAATATGCAATAACGAATGCAAAGCATATAGTACAGGGCCCAGTATACACCAGCTGGTCACCAAACAACAGCCAACCGTGTTCTCAGCATAATGAAACTGAGTCTAATCACTTTATTCTCCCAATGGCATAAGAAACTAGGGGTTTTGCACTTTAGAATAGCTGCAAAATTTAAAGTCCACCCAAAACCTTTCTTTCAAGAGTTTCAACATAAAGAATTCAACAAGGCAGATAGGATGGTTCCAGTTTACAGATCAGAAGCCTTAGCATTAAATGAGTTGCCCACAGTCACACAGCTAGTGTTACATCTAAAGAAAAGGTATGACTCATTTGTTACTCTACACCTGGGCAACAAAGAATAAACATCAAATTATTTAGGGAAAGGAGCCTAGTGAAGCATCCTGACTGCAGTGATTAGTCTTGGCCAGGAACAAGTCCGGATGCCGATCTTCCTTCCTCTTATCACAGTTAAGTACAAGTGGCTGCTAAGCTCATGTAAAATACTACCTCTACCTGGGAGGTCTCTGAGCCATGGCTTCCCAAAGAGAACTGGGAGGAAACAAGCATTCTGTTAAAGTTATGTTTCCTAACTAACTCTCCCTGCCCTAACCCTAACCCTACCACTAAATTTTATAATTTCTTCTTTTCTTATTCTCTTCCAGTGAGCCGTTTGGTTGGCACATGTCAATCTGGGAGAGAACTAGAAAAGGCTAAGAAGTTGAAGTGCTTAAAGGTCACTTAGCTATGGACCCTGGTTCTAGGGACAGGTGCTCTGGCTGCAGTTATGAGAAACAGAAAGCAAGAAGTTTGCAATTAAATCTATTCATTCCAGCTCTGAAGTCACCTCTTAGCATGGACACAAATCTGCCATTTTTATTAAAGCATTGGTGTAGAGCACCCAAGCCAAACTGAATTTTGTATTCATTTTTGTATTCATCTGAATTTTCCTTTGTAACCATATGCATGGTGGGGCCAGGAATCCTTTTCAATCCAGGGGAATACGTAGGGGGAAGTGCCTGAGGACAAGGGGCCTTATTAAGTTCCTGGGGAAGGGCATGTGGTTTGAAAATCTTTCAAATAATAATTTTTCATTTTATATATTAAAAAAACCAAAACCTACTGCTTTTATTTTATTTTATTTTGGTACTGGAGACTGAACCCAGGGGTGCTTTACCACTAAGTTACATCCCCAGTACTGTTTATTTTTTATTTTGAGACAGGGTCTTGCTGAGTTGCTGAGGCTGGCCTGAAATTTGTGATCCTTTGCTCAGCCTTCTGAGTCACTGGGATTTCAGGCATGTGCCACTGAGCCTGGCCTACTGCTTTTATAAAAACCAGGCAGAAGTTAAAATGGGCCATTCTTCAGAGTCTCATAACAGAAGATCTGCTTTGGCCAGAACAACAACAACAAACGCTTTGGGTTCTATACCTAGGTTTTCTTTTTTTGTAAAATTATTTCTAATTATTCCTTAAAAAAAAAAAATCGAGCATTTAAAAGCCTCAATTAAATGTTAATCTGCCTTCTTAATACCAGCTAATCCTTTTTTTAAAAAAAGTATATAAACTGGATGCAGTGGTGCATACCAGTCATCTCAGCTACTTGGGAGGCTGAGGCAGGAAGACCACATTTAAGACCAGCCAGGAAACTAACTTATTGAGATTCTGAGTCTCAAAATAAAAAATAAAAAAGGCTGGGAGTGTAGCTCAATAGAATGCTCCTGGGTTCAATCCCTAGTGCTGGGAAAAAAAAAAAAAAGTTTGAGGTGAAAGGTTACAATTCTGTTGTGGGAGAACTTCATTGACTATCAGGGATTAGAGTCCAGAGGGAAAAACAGGCACATGGCATTTCTCTTATCCAAGTCATATATTACACCAGTACTCAAGTGTGCACTCGTGTTTCAGGCTGTGAAAGTGGTTGGGGCTTCTGTCTGACCTGGTGAGGAGTGAGTTCAGCACCAGTGTTCACATCTACCAGCTGGAAGAATAAGGCAAAGTTCTGGTGGCTGTCTGCGATGAATGTACCCTTGGCTTTGGCTGGATAGGTCACCCTGAAAGACACATTACACAGCGGGTCTTCAGACAGGCTCTGCATATCTGAGAACAGGCAAAGAATGCACTCCTCCCTTTACTGCCTACTCCTCCCTCTCCCGCTGTCCCCCTTCTGCGATGGACAGATAGATGTAGCTGGGGCAGAGTGGGCTGGTAAAGTCAGGACTGGGAACTTTTTTTAGTTTCTGTTTTTTTTTTTTTTTTGCCCTGCTGGAGACCAAACCCAGGGCCTTGCACACACCAGGCAAATGCTCTACCACTAGGCTATACCCCAGCCCCCAAGCCAGGACTGAGAAAAGCACAGAGAAAACTTTTATCAGGGTATAGAAAAAATGCTCTGTGAAGATGTCTGGAGGCTTTTACTTCAAGGAATGAGCTCTAAATTCAACCAAGTCTGGAGCTGGTGAAGCTCACGTGTACCTCTGTAGGAACACAGGTGGACTACGAGCTGGCTGTCGAAACTGCAGGAGATATCATCCCAGGATCGATGCCAGAAGTGTATGTGAGCAAGGTTGAGAGACAAAGGGGAAGAAGGAGGCAAAGGAGAGCCGGGAACTTGGAGTTATTACTTTTTTTTTTTTTTTTAAATATTTTTTGTTGTAGTTGGACACAATATCTTTGTTTTTATTTATTTGTTTTTATGTGGTGCTGAGGATTGAAACCAGGGCCTCGCACGTACCAGGCGAGTACTCTACTGCTGAGCCATAACCCCAGCCCCACTATTTTTTTTTTTTTTTGCTATATTTTTTTCCTGGATACTGTTTCAATTTATTTTTCTGCCCTGAAATTGGGTTTTAAAAAGTCCCTTTCTCAAAAGGCAGGCTTAATGAGAAAAACTGTCCTTTTCAGATTTATCTCCTGGGATTTTAGTGTAAGATGGCCAGCAGATAAATAGGCTTAACAGTTATAAAGCTCATACACAGCTTTATTTTGTTCTCTGGACTTATATTTACTTAAGAAGACAAATTCTCATTTACATAGAGAATTAAACTTTGCAAAGCACTCTCAGACATTATTCAGTGGGTTCTCAAGTATTACTCTTCTCTCCTCCATCACTACAAAGACAACCAAGCCAGAGACAGCAAGACCAGCCTACAGGTTCCCAGGCTCTGGCTAACACCCCATCTTCAAAATGGCCTTCAGGCTGAATGTGGGCAGCACATGCCTATAATCCCAGCAACTAGGGAGGCTAAGGCAGGAGGACTACAAGTTTGAGGCCAGTCTGGGCGACTTAGATAGACCCTGCCCCCAAAGAAAAAGAAACAGGCTTCCAGGGTTGACCTACTCTCTTCTGGCCTATACAGTCACCCCAGCTAAGTAAAGCTGGGATCTGAACTATTCCCAGAGATTTTGATGACTACCTCCTAAGGGTTTGGGGAAGGGTTGCCAATAGGCTTCATACAACATTCTGATCCACTCTGATCAATTGTTAATAACCCAAGGCTATGTTTGACTTCAGTAGAAAAAAATGCTATGATGCAGTAATACCTGCCACAGAGGGAAAAGGAAATGGTAGCCTTAGTGCTAGCGGGGTACTGACATCTCAGTTCTAAGGACCTATGAAGCTCCCAACTGATTTCAAACCCACCACAAGCTAGAAAGAATTGCCATAAAGCAAATTTATTCCTGTGTAAAGATAAGATAATTATAAAAAAGAAGGTAAATAAATACTCTGCTTCCTTCCCTGAGGAAGCTGTAATGACACAGTCAACCAACTCACACTTACATCCTGAGGTAATGCCCTTCGTCTCCTCGTGTGGACTTGCAATAAATAATTTGCTTATGAAATGAACACCGCTATAGACAACCCCCAAATCTGCTTAGATGCTAACCAGAATCTCTGGACCAGTACTGCTAGAATAGAGCCTCTTGAATTTGGGGTGAAGGCGGATCACTGCTGACACAGAAATGCCACCAGAAGGGTACAGTCCCAGGCATGTTCTTCTTAGCTCTGGAGCCTGGGGTTCCCCTGTGCCCACATGGTATCCCACTTACCGGGTGGTTTTGGGTGCAATGCTCTGATCCTTATCCACAGTGGAAAGATCGACATTTGTGATGCCAACTTCAGTGGAGATTTTGACTCTGAGCTGGAATAAAATATAGAAGACAATAGTCAACTGGTAGGTATACAAAAAATTAACTGTATATCCTAAGTTTTCTACTCTTAAAAAGGTAAAAGTACATATATATATATATATATACATATGGCAGAGAGCTTTTTCTTTCCTTTTTTTGCAAGGGGTGGAGGGACAGTTTGCTAGGGATCTAGATAGCAGCTTCAAGGATCATAGTAAAACTGGCCCAGCAAAGAAGTCTGTCCCACCTCTCCTATCTTGAAGCCTAAAAAAGCAACTCCTTATCTCTTCTTTCCTTCTCTGGCTTTGGTTGGATGGTACATATTAAAAAAGAAAAAGAAAAAAGGAGATCTTTTAATGTATACTTTAAAATAAAAAGGCAAAAATCTCTAAGCAGTAACCTTTAAGTAATTCAAATCAATAAGTACTCAATTCTATTAACAGCTAAGATTTATTGAGTGTTTACTATGTGAAGGCATTGGCTTTGTAAAGACAATCTCATTTAATCTTCATGAGAATTCTGTAAAGTAGGGCTAATTCAGATGAGGAAATTAAAGATTAGAGAGTTTAAGCTGCTTGCTCAAGATTAGATTGATACTAAATGACAGCCAGGATTCAAGCTCACTCAAAACCCACCTGCTTAGAAGCCTTGTTATACAGCTTCCCACCAGCACTCATTCTGCACCAAACAGCACTGTAACTTGCCATGGAGACTAGGAAGCTTGGCAGTCATCTGTGCAGTTTACTAAGTGCTTCTCATTCCCCTTCTGCACAAGGGGTAGAATTCTACCCTCTGGAGTCAGGTAGAGACATGTGACTCTCTGGCCAGTGAAATGTGAAAGAAGTGAACTGTGCCGCTGCTGGGCGGAAGCTTTAGAAGTCCATGAGGATTCATTTCCTCTGACATGGACACGACAATGCATAGGTTGAGATATGTTCCTTCAGCCAGGGTCTCAGAGGAAGGACAACATGAAGCAGAGCCTCCAACTGACTCACTGAAGACACAGTGTGGGCAAAAAGTAAACCTTTGTTTTAAGCCACTGAGATGTGGAGTTTGTGTTATGCACAAACGAGTCCATCTCCATCTCCTAGTTTCTGAATTCTATATTTCCTTTATAAACATTTCCACAAAGAGCTACACAAGAAACTTAAAAATTAGATTAAAATAAATAAAGTATCCAAAAGTCTATTCATGGAAAATTTTTGAGTTAAAATCCAAGTTTGAACGTGTAAATTACACAAACCCAAGGCAAACATATCTGTGAGTCTTCCAAATATTTGATAGGCTTGAGAGTAACGCTTAAGGAAATCCTTGCCAAACCCAGAGTCTAAGTCAGGATCAAGGAACAAAGACAGTGGTCTGGGCAAATACGTGAAGGACAGCCGCAGCATTTTCCTAAAATGCCTTATCAAGGTATGACAGTCTCAAACCAAGGACAAAGAAGAAAAGTTAAAAAGGGATAAAGATAGCTATCAATTAATTCTTTTGAACAGCCTTCCCTCCTGCTTTCATAATAACTATTTTGTGACAAGAGCCTCAATTATTAGGTTGAATAGGGTGTTCTGTTTTGCTTAAAAAAAAAAAAAAAAAAAAGAATGTAAAAGATATATTGCAGAAGCTGTAAAGATATTACCATCTACGTTTGAATACGTAGGCAGCTATCAATTGGATTTTATTTAGCAGCCCTGGCTGTCACTGAGCCTAGGAAATGGTGACATGGCAGAGAAAGGGCCCTCAAATTGAACAGTCCTCCCAGGGAGATAGCTTACAGCCGCTACCTTGTTCTTGGATGTTGAGAGCCACAGCCGAAGGGGCCCCAGCAAACTTCTAGCCGCCAGCAAACTTCCAGCTGCCAGCTGATGATTGGCTCACAGCGGCCCCAGCAAACTTCTAGCTGCCAACTGATTGGCTCCTCTGCGGTGATGCTCATTGGGCTGTTTCCCCACCCTTTCAGACCACGGAGCTGCTCATTGGAGGACTTTTTTTGGCTCTGCCCACGCGACCCAGCCAATCAGCCTCAAGAGCAGGAGGAGTGGGGGAGGTGGAGAGGCTTGTGGGAAGCCGGTGGTGGCAGTTGGGCTCTGAGGGTTTTTCCTGAGGAGCTAGGTGGTGTGGTGTGTGTGTTCTTAAAAATAAAGTTCGTTTCTTTTGACAAGTGGCTCCTGAATTGTGCCCAGCCAGACTGCGGCATTTGGTGGCCTGTACGGGGAACGAACCCGCGACCTTGTCCAGCTGCCAGCACTTGGAGTTCTCTAAAACAGCACAAAGCTCAGTAAAGAGAAAAGGAAAAGTTAAGCATTTCCATTTGAAGACAGGTGGAAGAGTCAAGCAAAGAATAGCCAAAGAGCTCTAATTAGGCTACCAGCTTTTAGCAAGATAGCCTTCTGTGACCACTTTCATCCTCTCTCCTCCTACCCCATGCAGAGCACCTAAGTACAGGGGGATAGACAGGGAAGAGAACATGCACTTCCTGTCCGTAATTGTAACCAGCTACTGCTTTAATGGAGGAACATACAAAGTGCTATGGAAGCACAAGACAAGGATCCAAGCCTGCCTGGGGGAAAGTAGGAAACAGTGGATAGGAGGAAGTCTAGAGAATAGGCAGCCCTCCAATTTTGGGAGAGGTAGGAAATTAACAATGCTCCATGCTATAAAAATGATCTGTCTTCACATTTAATTATCCTACAACCTTCATCAACATTAACCACATAACTCCCTCTTCATCTTGTGACTCATTCTCTTAAGGACTCATTCACTGAATTTGTAAATGTGATCATGAAATCATCATCACATGCCCATAAACAAGACTAGCTAAATAAATAATGATAATGCACTCTAGGAATTACTGTGGAGCAGTTAAAAGAACAAGGCAGATGCCTACAGACAGAGAGGGAGCTGTTACTTCTTGCTTTTGACTACACAGCCAGTCTAGTAGCAGAATTATACTAAGCATTACTGCCTGTCACCAAGTCTAGGTAATAGGGTGAACTATGGCAAGAGGGTTGGTGGGTGGAATATGGTGTAGCCTTCAAGTTAACAGACCCCCAAGGGTAAAGTTGGGAACTTCTACTTTGTGACAAAAGTGAAAAATTCAGCTCTTTATGTAAAAAAAGATGCGCTTATGTTCACTGTGACATGCGTCCTCTTGTTAAAAGGTACACAGGAAACTGTTAAGAATGGACTCCTCTAAAGAAGACTGAATTGATAGGATGGCAGCATTATATACCTTTCTGCACCTGAAAAAAATTGAGTCACTTATATATTTCACTCCTGTTTTTAAAATATAGGGATTACCTAGACAATGAGATTGTAGATCACATACTATCTTCCAAATATGCTTTTCTGTATTAAAAAAGTGATATTACAATCGCTTTTCTTTTTGGTAGATGGATATATACAAACAGCTGTTCAAAGAACTGCATTAAGCTCCTCAGTGTATCCTAACTTTTGGGTTTTCATTAGACTCCTATCAACTTTTAGTACTAATGCAGCCACTAAGGCCTGCTAATTGACTGCTGTGTGTGTTTTTCTAAAGACATGGCGAGCATTCCTAGACTAGACAGACACATGGCATGAGCAGAGGGTGTATTGCAGTGAACTGGAGTCATTTTGGTTTGTCCTCAGTCCAGTTTTAAAAGGATCCCTAAGTAACAGCTTTCTTTGCTGCAGAGAAAAACTGTAGGGCTGTTTATGAAAAGGAAACAGTCTAAAACAAATCCTTCTGCTCCTAAAATCTCACTACAACAGATCTCTGGAAACACTCAAAAGAAAAATGTTTGTATGCCACTCTTAAAGCAAATGGAGCAATAAAAGAAGCCATCATAATGTCTTTCTTTTCTTCTCCCCCCTTTTTTTTTTGGATTGAATCCAAGGGTGCTTTACCACTGAGCTACATCCTCACATCTTTTTATATTTCAGTTTGAGGCAGGGTCTTTGCTAAGTTTTCCAGGCTGGCCTTGAACTTGCAATCCTCTTGGCTCAGCTTCCCCAAACAGCTCGAATTACAGGCATGTGCTAATATTCCTGGTGTGTATTGTAACAGACCTGGCTCATCATAACTTTTACAAAGCCCTGCTTTAAAAAGAGTTCAGTTTAGCCAGGCGAGGTGGTGCATGCCTGTAATCCCAGTGACTTGGGAGGCTGAGGCAGGAGGATCACAAGTTCAAAGCCAACCTCAGCAACTTAGTGAGGCTTTAAGCAATTTAATGAGACCCTGTCTCAAAATAAAAAAATATTAAAGGGCTAGGGACGTAGCTTAGTGATTAAGCGCCCCTGGGTTCAATATTCTCCTCCCCAAATAAGAAGTTCAGTTTACAGCTACTCAGAAGACTGAGGAAGCAGGACAGCAAATTTGAGGTCAGTTTTAGCAATATAGCAAGAGGGCTGTGGGTGCAGCTCAGTGGTGAAGTGCCCCTGGGTTCAATCTCCAGTGCTCACCCCCAGTGTAGGATCCTTTTTAGGATCCCTGTTGGTTAGTTGCTTCTTCCTTCAAACTCAGACTATAGGTCTAGTTTTCCTAAAAGGCAAAAGACTTATTTCTCCACTTTAAATGCTGCTAAGCCTGCTTCACGTGGGACCACGCTCGTTCTTTCTTTGTACCATATGCCATTCATATCTCAAAAAATGTTTTAACGCCAGGAAATGCAATCTTTCTGCTCGGAGCAACAAACCTGTTTAGCTTATTACTGTCAAAAATGATGGTGCATTAGGGGCAATTAATGCTAATGAAAGCTTCCAAACCCATGCTTCCCCGACAGTCCCATGTCAACGAGCACTATGACAGGCTTCCACACCAAACCACCATTAAAGCTCCAGCCAACATTGGCCGTCTCCAGGGAGAGAAAACCGGACCCCTGACTCACTCAGGCTCTAAACATGACTATTACAAAATTACAAAGTCAAGTCACATTTACGGTAGAGGTCAAGAGAGTGTGTGTACATGTGCAAGTGCTCACGCACACGCGCGCGCGCACACACACACACACACACAAGCTCTAATGTGATAAAGGGG